ACCACCAGTTAGTCCACAAACATGTTAAAGATATGTTAAACAAATTGAAAGATGAGTACTTATTAATAAAACTAGAGTTTATTAAGAAATAAAAAATCAAGTGCTGAGATATCTTTCCATTGCTTGTTGGAGGGATTGCTTATATTAGCTCCAAATAGCTAGAAGATAGAAAAAGTGGCAATCATTCACCGAAGACTTATTTTATTAGCTTCCTATAATTTAGAAAGTGGTTGACTTTGATGTAATTAAGTGTCTTCATTGACTGTACAATGCACATAAATTAAATTATGGCTGGTACTTAATGATCTATGTAGCACACAAAGGAAGATAACTGAATTAGGATATTCAGTCTTTGCTTTGTAAGGAAGACAGCAGCATAGCTGGCCATATGGCTTTCTTTTGGTGTGCTTGCAATAGCTCACAAAACCAGAAATATGTATATAACTTAACTTTCTGAAAAAAGAAAAGAAAAGAAAAGTAGTAAGCGCCAAGTTTCTTTCTTCTTAGATAACAATCTTAGAGAGTATAATAAAGAACTTGAAGTTTATTTAATAAGAATAAACAGAAAACAGAAAAAAGCCAAAGATTTATTATTTTTATTTAAAATTACTTTTTATTTCAAATGCCCAAATTTTTTTTCAAACGACCGGCTGACATGACCTGAAAAATTTGTGTTCGGGTCGACTTATTTTCAAATTCGTGTCATTTTCATTTTATCAAAAATTGACCTAAAAAAATTTGTGTCGTATCGCGTGTCAAACAGTGAACTTGTAATTAACCCGTGTTAATCTTCTTATAGGTTACTCGTACTGTGTTGTGTCGAAAACAAGTAATTCATGTCTTATCGTGTCTTGTTGACCCTGTATAATAAGTAACACAGTTTGTGATTGACAGGTTACCCGTATCGTGTCTTGCCAACCTACATAATAAGCGACATACTATGAATTTGTAGATTATTCGTGTCAAATATTTTAACTCGATTTCAAATTTTTGTCGCGTTTGTATTGGTTTATTTGTGTTTGTATCAAATTTGTGTTGTGCATGTCAACCCGAATTGTCACCCCTATGCAATACTAAAATGTTTTGGGATTTGAGGAAAAAAATACTGGGTGTTTGGGGATTTTCTTCTCTCTTACAACATGAATATTTTCAAAATACCTTACATTTTTCTCCACATGTTATGAAATTTGAGGAAATAAAATTATCTCATGTTATCGGAAAAATACTAATCCCATTATAATACACCTTATGCTTGGTAACAGTAATATGAACTTCAAGGATAATTAAGTTATATCAGTATCTATTAGCAGCAGAAAAATATATCTGAACATTCATCATCTTTCTGTATTGTATATTCTGAAATGAGGAATACAATTGGCTGTACATATATAGTCTTAGCAAAACAACTGTAACAGAAAGAAGGTGCATAAAGGCTTTGGTGAAGAGTTCAGCAAGCAGTCCGGATGATGGGACTAGAAAAGTCCTCAAGTTACCTTTGATAATATGTTCACGAACAAGATGGCAGTCTATCTCAATGTCTTTGGTGTGTTCATGAAATACCGGATTTGCTGCCAAATGTAATGCAGATTTGTTATCACAGAAAAGATGAGCAGGTCCAAAATAAGAAAAATGCATATCCTTAAACAAAGAGAATAACCATAACAATTCACAAGTAACATGTGCCATAGAACGATATTCAGCCTCAGTAGAAGATCTGGACACAATATGCTACTTCTTAGATTTCCAAGAAACCAAAGAATCACCAATAAAAACACAAAACCTAGATATAGAACGGCGACTATCAGGGCAGGCAGCCCAGTCAGAATCACAGAATGCATTCAACTAAAGAGAGGCAGTGGAAGAAAAAAATAGACCTTGTCCAGTGGTATTTTTTATGTATCCAAGAAGATGATATGCTGCCTGAAGATGAGGATCCCGTGGAGAAACCATAAATTGGCTAAGATGATTAACAACATAGGAGAGATCAGGTCTAGTAATAGTAAGATAAAGAAGACGACCAATAAGATGTCTATAAACAGAAGGATCATGAATCAAATCACCAGTTTCAGAGGAAAGTTTTAAACCAACTGCAATAGGGGTAGAACGTGGCTTACAACCCAAATGTCCAGAGTCTTTAAGAATTTCTAAAGCATAATGCCTTTGACAAACAAATATGCCCCTTTTTCTACGGGCAACTTCAAGGCCTAAAAAATATTTTAACTCACCAAGATTCTTCAACTTAAACTGGTTGTGTAAAGATTGAGTAAGGAGCTGGACTTCTGAATAATTATTAGATGCAATTATAATGTCGTCCACGTAAACCAAAACAGCAATAAAAGCAGATGATGAAGACCGAACAAATAATGAATGATCAGACTGAGATTGGGAAAAACCAGGGTTCAATAAGGCAGTAGAGAACTTGGCAAACCATTGTCGTGAAGCTTGATGAAGACCATAAATTGACTTGTGCAAATTGCAAACAGCATTGGGAGGTAAAGCAGAATGGGAAGATGAATAACCAGGGGGGAGAGTCATATAAACCTCTTCAAGAAACTCCCCGTGAAGAAAAGTATTGTTGACATCCAATTGGGTAAGAGACCAGTTATGAACAGCAGCCAAGGCAAGAAGAACACGGACAATATTTATTTTGGCTACTGGGGAAAAAGTTTCCAGAAAATCAATCCCCTCTTGTTGGTTAAAACCCTTAGCAACCAGACGGACCTTATACCTTTCAATGGAACCGTCTGAATGATACTTCACTTTGTAAACCCACCTACAGCCAACAGCCTGCTTGCCCTGAGGAAGAGACACAACAGACCAAGTAGAATTATCTTCAAGAGCTGAAAGCTCAGATGCCATGGCAGCCTGCCATTCCGGTAACTGGGAAGCTTGAGAATAAGTAGTAGGTTCAAAATGTGAGGATATAGAATTAACAAATGCAGCATGTGATGAAGAAAGTTTGTCATAAGAAATAAAATGGGATAAAGGATGAGTGGTAGAAGAAGAGCAAAAATAATCAGAGAGGTGGGCTGGGGGTTGTCTAGTCCATGAAGGTCTAGAAGAAGAGTGTGGTTCTGGGATAGGGGCAGGGATAGGGAAAGGTGTAGGTAGTTGGGAGAATTCAGTATGAAAGGATGTAGGTGTATGATGGAGAGCAAAAGGAAAAATATGCTCATAAAAATGGACATCTCGAGAGATGAAAGGTTTATTTGAGGCCAAGTCCACAAGTTTGTAGCCTTTGTAACCGACAGGATAACCAAGAAAAATAGCAGGTGTAGCCCTTGGAGAAAATTTATGCCGAGTCTTAGGAAGAGTAGAACTATAACACAGGCACCCAAAAACGCGAAGATGGGCATATGAAGGTGGTTTATGGCAGAGTAACTCAAATGGAGTTTTGGAACCAAGAAGGGGAGATGGGGTCTTGTTAATGAATTAAACAGCTGTAAGAACACAGTCTTGCCAGTATTGGAGAGGGATTTTGGATTGAAAATGGAGGGCACAGGCTACATTAAAGAGGTGCTGATGCTTCCTTTCAACCACAGAGTTCTACTTAGGACGATCAACACAAGAATGAAAAACTTGAATACCTTTAGAATAAAAGAATGGTGACATATTAAACTCAGGAGCATTGTCACATCGAATAGATTTAATAGGAGTCTGATACTGGGCCAAGATCAGAGAATAGAATGCAGGGAATACAACAGAGAACTCAGACTTAGTACGCAGAAAATAGGTCCAAGTAAACCTGGTTGAATCATCAACCAAGGTAAGAAAGTAACGACAACCTTCAACATAAATAGTATGAAAAGGTCCCCAAATATCACAATGAACAAGGGTAAAGGCAGTAGCAGAAAGCTTAGGGTCCAAAATAAAAGGAAGGCGTTTTTGCTTCGCCAAGGGACATACAGAACAATGATTATCAACATGCAAAAATAAGAAAATCCCAGAATATTTTTCATAGAATCTAAAACCGAATTTGAAAGATGACCCATACGAGAATGCCAAAGACAAGCACCCTTAACAGAAATGTTAAAACAAATAGAATGGGGAACATATGTAATGGGAAAAAGATTGGTACTTTCTAAGAGGTAAAGATCACCATGACGTCTAACAATCCCAATCATCTTTCCCGAGGAACGGTCCTGAAGAAAACACAGAGACGAAGAAGAATTAGCAAAAATTGGAGAATCACGAGCCAATGCACTGATGGACAAAAGATTAAAAATAAAGGAAGGAACATGTAAGACGTTAGAAAGAATGAGGGAGTCCGAAATTTTAACTGAACCAATAGAAGAAACAACAACAGTCGAACCATTAGGAAGGGAAACCAAAGATTGAGAAGAAGAGGAAGAAAGAAAAATATCAAGCTTAACATAAACGTGATGCGTAGCTACAGTATCTAAAATCCAACAAGACGAGGGAAAGGGGAGTGAGGTCTTACCACTGAAGCTAGCAGCCGAAGGAGACGAATCGGTGACAGACGATGTAGTTGACGGAAGAGACATGGACGAAGAAGTTGAAGCAAAACTCTGTTAAAGAAGGGAGACCGGCTGATTATATTGAGAAGGAGTGAAAGTGAGAGGGTAATCAGAGGTGGGATTAGGGTTCAAAGAGGAAATGAAATTGGGGAACTGATTTAGGTTGGAAGGGGCTGAAATGATGGAATGGGCTTGGGCTGGCAAATTGGTTTGGTTAGAAACTGAGTTAGGCCTGGGTACCCTGGGTTTGTAACCAGGAGGATACCCATTGAGTTTAAAATATTTGTCACGTGTATGTCCTGAAAGGTGACAGTAGGTGCAAACGGGACGGCGGCATTGGATGGCAGCCACCGTGGGAGATAGAGAGGAAACAACCGGAGAAGGGATCGTAACATAATTTAGAAGAGGGGATTCTGGAATAACAGGCGATGGCAAAGAAACAAATAATTGACGTTGTCTTTCCTCTTGAAGAATCATGGAAAACACTTTGGCAAGCGGAGGTAACAGATCTATCAGCAGAATTTAAGCACGCGAGGAAGAGTAGGAATTATTTAGCCCAATAAGAAACTGGAGAACGTGATCCTGCTCTCTATGTGTATTAATGTGACATAGAGCTCCACAAGTACAAGGCAGAAGATGAGCATAATCCAGCAATTCATCCCAGAGAGATTTGAGCTTGGTGTAGTAGCTATTAACATCCAAGGAGCCTTGACATATGGATGATATCTGTTGTTTAAGTTGGAATATTCGAGGACCATTGACCTGGGAGAACCGGGTTTTCAAATTAGTCCAAGCTTCATATGCGTTGGTAAAATAGAGTAAACTATGAGCAATCTCTTTGGTGACGGAGTTCAAGATCCATGAGAGTACCAAGGAGTTACATCGATTCCAAACGGAAAATAAAAGATCAGTGGAGGCAAGAAGGAGAAGAGAGCCATCAATGAACACCAGCTTATTTTTGGCAGTCAATGCAAGCAACATTGCACGATGCCATGAATTAAAATTGGAACCTGATAAACAATGAGAGACCAAAACGAGGCCAGGATGGTCATTACTATGCAAAAAATATGGACTAGAGGAATCATCCATAGAGGTATAATTGGCTGTAGTGGAAGAGGTGGAATCAGCTGGCGGTGGACGGTTGTTGCCACGGGCCATCGAAGAAGCAACAGAAAATTAGGAGAATACATCTAATACCATATTAGCAGCAGAAAAATATATTTGACCATTCATCATCTTTCTGTATTGTATATTCTGAAATGAGGAATACAATTGGATGTACATATATAGCCTTAGCAAAACATCTGTAACATAAAGAAGGTGCATAAAGGTGCGCACAAAAGGTGCCTAACAAAATGACACGCACTCAGGAGTGAAAGTAAAATGGCCTTAAAGGCCGTAGCATGTGAGAGGGAAAAACAAAATTTTTCATATGCGGAATTACACATGCAATCAAGAATCATGCTTTATGGCATGTGATGTTACCTTTGTTTGTGAGTTCAAAACTCCAAGACGATCAGTGTTAGGTTTGAAGGGTTCAAACCCTCTAACGTTGATCCACATCACCCACGTCAGGACAAGCCCAACAGTATACCTATGAGTCTCCATGTTTCAGCCAGACGAGATATACAGTCAAAGCATGCCTTCTAGAACACAGTCTAGGTAATAACTTCTGGTTTAAGGAAAGATATACCCAAATATAAAGAGACTACTCTAATGATATTCTCTGTGAGATTTCCTCATAGAGTCTCTTTTGTGGGTCTGTTCAGTGCGAGCTATACCCTTATAGATCCACCCACGACTTTAGCTAAGACATCTCCATATCTGTAGCTTATGAGGTCTTTACCTTGCATCTGAATACAAGTAGATAAATTACCTGAGATCACTGATCCCCATTCTCAGTGTCTCTAGACTAGGAACATAAAATTAGGAATAAATATCCAGTATCCTTGAATCCTCATGATCATGATCTCATCACATATACTCAAGAGATACCTATTTTATTCCAAGGGGTTTATCCGGTTACTCATATAAAATATTAACAGTAATATTGAGACAAGATATGAAACAGGATAAATAGTGCTTTTATTTATTTGCGATAATACAAAGGTCCACATATGTCCTAATCTAATTAAAAGATTGTCTCTAGGACATCCATATACTAACAAGCTCCCACTTGGCCTAGAGCCAATCAGACCTAAGTCGTATACCCAAAGCCTCATAATGACTATCATGTTTTCTCTGTGAAACAGCCTTTGTCAGAGAATCGGCTAGGTTATCATCTGTGGGAATATAATCCATCTTTACATCCATCATATCAATGATTTCTCTAATCAGGTGATATCTGCGGAGCACGTGCTTAGATCTTTGATGAGACCTAGGTTCCTTTGACTGCGTAATGGCTCCAGTGTTGTCGCAAAGCAACTGTATGGGCTCATCTACGCTTGGAACCACCCTAAGTTCAGATATGAACTTCTTGATCCACACGGCCTCCTTAGCTGCTTCTGAAGCAGCTATATATCAGCTTCTGTCATTGAATCTGCTGTTGTCTCCTGCTTTGAACTCTTCCAAGATACTGCCCCACCATTTAAGGTGAATACGAACCCTGACTGTGACTTGCAGTCATCTTTGTCACTCTGAAAGCTGGCATCAGTGAACCCTTTCACTGTTAGCTCATCAACCCCACCATAGACCAGAAACGCATCCTTAGTTCTTCTTAAGTATTTAAGGATGGTCTTGACTGCTGTCCAGTGACCCTCTCTAGGGTCCGACTGGTATCTGCTCATAATGCTCAAAGCATATGAGATATCTGGTCTCGTACATATCATGGCATACATGATGGATCCAATAGCCGAAGCGTATGGAATTCCACTCATGCGATCCTTCTCAGGCTGTGACTTAGGATACATAGCCTTTGAAAGATGTACCCCATGACTGACGGGAAGAAAACCCCTTTTCGACCCTTCCATGCTAAACCTCTTTAGCATCTTGTCGACATACGTGGATTGAGATAAACCCAGCAGCCTCTTGGATCTATCTCTATAGATCTCTATACCAAGTATAAAGGTCGCTTCTCCCAAATCCTTCTTGGTGAAGCTTTTTGAAAGCCACTCTTTCGTTATTTGTAATGTGGGGATGTCATTTCCTATTAACAATATGTCATCTACATAAAGTACCAGGAAGACGACATTACTCCCACTAACCTTCTTGTAAACACAAGGTTCATCCTCATTCTTGATAAAACCGTTACTCTTAACGACTTCATCAAAACAAATATTCCAACTCCTTGATGCTTGCTTTAGCCCATATATCGACCTTTGAAGTTTGCATACCATATGCTCCTGATCTTTGATTTCAAAGCCCTCAGGTTGTGTCATGTACACTTCCTCCTTCAAGAACCCATTCAAGAAGGCGGTCTTGACATCCATTTGCCAAATTTCATAGTCGTGATATGCCGTTATTGCAAGCATGATCCTAATAGATTTGATCATGGAAACAAGCGAGAAAGTCTCATCATAGTCAACTCCTTGTCTTTGACGATACCCTTTCGCAACCAACCTAGCTTTGTGGGTCTGAACGTTGCCATCTGCATCAGTCTTTCTTTTAAAGACCCATTTGTTACTGATAGGAACTATTCCTTGCGGTTTAGGAACCAAGGTCCATACCTTGTTTTGATACATCGAATCCATTTCAGATTCCATGGCTTCAAGCCATCTAGAAGAGTCAACATCCTTGACTGCCTCTTCGTAGTTACTTGGTTCATCATCCTCGACGGTTTGCTGATTCTCAATCACAAACCCATACCTCTCAGGTGGATGAATGACCCTCGTTGACCTACGGAGTTGTGTGTTTACTTCTCCATTGGAGAATGTCGCCTGCGGAGCAGACTCGGGTTCCTCAATCTGTTCATGTGGTTCTTGAACTTCTTCAAGATCAATCTTACTCCCACTGGCTCCTTGAGAGATCAAATCCTTCTCAAGGAACTCAACATTATTTGACTCAAACACCTTGTGTTCATCCATGGAGTAAAAGTAATATCCCTTAGTACCTTTGGGATACCCCACAAATAGACATTTAGTACTCTTAGCACTAAGCTTGTTTGATGCCAACGCTTTGACATAAGCTGGCGATCCCTATACCCTGAGGTAACTCAGGTTGGGTCTCTTACCATTCCATATCTCATATGGTGTGGTCTGAACAGATTTAGACGGTACCCTATTTAGAAGGTATGTCGCTGTGTCTAAGGCATATCCCCAAAACGATTTTGGAAGTTGAGTCTCACTCATCATAGACCTGACCATGTCTAACAAGGTCTTGTTTCTCCTTTCGGAGACACCATTTTGGTGTGGTGTGTAAGGTGCAGTAAACTGCGAGAGAATTCCATTTTCTCTCAGATAATCCTGAAATTCATGGCTCAGATATTCACCACCACGATCTGATCGTAATGTCTTAATCATCTTGCCACGTTGATTCTCTACTTCATTCCTAAACTCCTTGAACTTTTCAAAGTCTTCGGATTTATATCTCATTAGGTACACGCACCCAAATCTTGATTTGTCATCACTAAAGGTGATGAAATAGGAGTATCCTCCTCTAGCCTCTATAGACATTGGCCCACAAACATCAGTGTGAATGAGTTCTAATAACTCACTAGCCCTATGACTCTCAAGCCCTTTGGGCTTGTGACAAGTCATTTTCCCAGCTAGACAAGATTCACATTGTCCATAGGATTCCAAATCCATGGAATCTAGGTATCCATTTGCATGCATCCTAGACAATCTTGTTTCGTTTATGTGCCCTAGTATACAATGCCAAAGATAAGATTAATTATCTATCCTAGGTCGTTTCACGGCTATATTGAGCACTTCAGTTCCTATTTCCAGAACATACAATCCATTTATTAAAGAAGCAGTACCATAAATAATATCATTCGAAATGATAGAAAATGTACCATTCTTAATACTAAAAGTAAAACCATCTTGTTCTAAACAAGAAATAGAAATAATGTTTCTCGAAATTTTTGGAACATAAAGACAATTATTCAAATGCAATAAAAGGCCCGTAGGCAAAATAAGGTCGGCATCTCCAACAGAATGAGCAGCAACCCTTACTCCATTGCCAACGCAGAGGTCCACCTCGTTTCTCTCCAATCTCCTTGGGCTCCTAAGCACCTGCAACATATTGCAGATATGAGAACCACATCCGGTATCCAATACCCATGAGGTAGGATTAACACAAATAATTTATCTCAATCATGAAAGTAACTGAGATAGAAGCATCACCATGCTTCTTGTCCTTCACACTCTTCAGGTAGTTTGGACAATTCCTCTTCCAATGGCCTTTCTTGCCACAATGGAAGCACTCAGCATCGCTTTTGTCCTTGGATGCACTCTTATCCTTCTTTTTGCCTTTCTTCTTCTTGGGTTTTCCTTTGGGTTTAAGGGAGTCTCTTTTCGCAGGCTCCTTGCCCTTACCCTTTGCCTTGCTAGGCCCACCAATCAGAAGAGCATGTGTCTTATCCTTCTTGATAGACATTTCAGCAGTTGTTAACATGCTTAACAATTCAGGCAAACTCACAAGCATCCCATGCATGTTGTAATTCATAATGAATTGACTGAAGGAAGGTGGAAGCGAGGTCAGGACTAAGTCATTACTTAGCCCGGCATCCATCACGAAGTCTAGATTTCCTAGCTTCTCAATGAGCCCGATCATCTTAAGAACATGACTGCTCACAGACATGTTCTCAGACATCCTGCATGAGAACAATTCTCTAGAGGCCTCATACCTCTCATGCCTGCCTTTAATGTCATACAACTCCTTGTGATGTAAGACAATAGAGGGAGCATCCATATGCTCATGCTGCTTTTGCAGTTCAGGCGACATGGATGCCAACATGATGCAGACAGTCAACACATTGTCATCCATGTGTTATTTGTGGGCCTCGAAATCAAATTCCGCGAACCCATCTTCCCCTTCCCTAGGAGCTACGGGTAATGCAGCATCCAGGACATAAGCTATTTTTTCGGCCCTAAGAACAATTCTTAAGTTCTGATACCAGTCCATAAAGTTTGAACCGGTCAGTTTGTTCGTATCGAGTATTGAGCGCAGTGACAGTGGATTAGTCATACTAAAAACTGAAAAAGATGTAAAGATTATTT